AAAGTGCATTTAAGTCCATTGTGATGTCCATTTTTGCCATTTTCCATTCGTTATTATCTTATAAACTTAAATATTTTCGATTTTATAATAAAAAATAATGTAGCATCTATAATTTTTTCGTACTCATTTTTGTCTTTTAATTTTTCTCATATTTGTTTTATGTTTACTACTTGTGTTGAACTCTCTAATCATAGTTTCCATCTAATTGATATCATTCTAAAGAAAATAATATATAAAGTATTTTAGAAAATAAAATATAAAGTATAATAAGAATCAGATTGAAAATTAAATAATATTTTACTTCATACTTTTTTTCCAATTATTTATTCGAAAATCTTTATATTGATATTTAACATTTAGATTTAATTATGCATCTTAGTTTTTTTTAGTGATATAACCCCAAAATTGATATCAGTACATTTTTATTGTATTTTCATGATATACTTTTTTTTAGATGGATTTCTTGGTATACCCCAAAACGTACTTTACGCCATTCTTCTTCTTCTTTTTCTTCGTACCTCCCCTTAATTTCCAAGCTCGCTTCTTCCAAATCTCGAAAGAAAAACGACTGCGTGCGAGTTGATCTTCGTTTCCACTTTCTCTCTCCATCAGAATCTTCAACATATACCCGACAAATTCCACCTCCCATCCCTCGTGGTAGGTACCGATGTTCCTCGGACGACAAATACTAAACGCACCATTTACGAGAGTCGAAAAATAAGATAAAGGGAACCCAAACTTCAAGGTCTCCACCAAAACCGGCTTGTCAGTACAGACAAAGTCGTGTACGGGATTAATGTTTTCTTGAACTATGTCATCGTCCTCCTCTTCTTCGTATTCGGGGTATTGTTTATATATACTCAGACAAATTTTCGATCGGCTTAACGACTTGAGCAGTTCATTCAGTTTGAGGAACCACAAATTAAAGACGAAACATTGTTCGTAGTAGGGATGCCAATAACATACGCTATACGTATCTCTGATTTCCACTCGTTGGAATTCGTTGCAAACGAGACTGACGGGACAAAGTCTCCTTGGTATTCAAAATAGAGTATGTTCGGGGCATCGATAAGTATCCGGGATTCTTTTAGTCCATCACAATCCGAAAGAGTCAAACTTTTGAGCCTCGGGAATTTACTAAACGACAAGTTGTCCAACGACGAATTCACACCACGCAGATATAAATCTTTTAGATTACGAAAATCCGCTCCTCTGCGGAACGTAATATTAGCGGCACTAATTTTGACGGTTTCGAGAGATAAGGGATCGATTTCGATGCTACAAAGTGGATCTCCACCATTAAATACGGTAAACGTGAAGTCCTTGAGATTGCGAAGATCATTCATTTTAATTGTTCTTAGCCCTATATTGAATCCGTTGACGCACAAGGTTTCAATCAGAGGGCAGCCTGCGATTATCTTTCCAACAATACTATCGTCAATGGACACACCTACGAGATGAAGCGATCTTAGATGCTTGCAGAGTGCTATCTTTTCAACGGCCTTTACGTACAAATGTTCCACACGCAAATGTTTGAGCGATTCGGCTTCGAAAACTACAGAGGGGAGATCGAGTGCACCGTAGCCCGAAAGAATGGAAAGACGAGACTCCTTTACGCCCATAGTTGTGAGACGTGGCATCCATTTATTGAGAAACGGAACCGATTCGTGATCCCAATAGTGTAGCGGTATATAGGGGTGGAATTCATCAAAGCACAATGATGATGCTAAAATATAGCTCACCTAGGGTGGTGTAGAAAATGAACTGGGAGAGCAAAGCAGATCAGTAGCTTGACAACTTGATGATCCTGAGGTACCTGCGATCATAGAACACATGAACTAAGCCGGGGGTTGATCCGGCGGAAACCCCTCCGACGCTCAAGTCAGACGTGCTGATCATAGAAATAGTCCAGAGAATACGCGTTTTTGTATTGCTCAGTTAATAGGACGTACCTTAATAAAATGAGTAAAACCTCTATTTATATGTCGTTTATTGGGTTGGGTTTGCTTTGTTGGGCCCAAGCCTTACTTGAAGGTGTTTGGGCCTCGGTGATATTGGTCTTCGATATTGGGCTCGTAGCCCAGTAGGTAAAGAAATTGTAGGCCCATTGGGTTGGCCCAATTAGGCATATCACACAACTTTTGATCACAATATTGTTGCAAAGTATTGTCCACACGGGTTATGAATTCATGTATGTCACCTCTGAAGGTGGGCCTCTGAAAAATCGAGATTGGTGCGAGTGCGCCACGTGTAACGCCATGATTTGGACAAGACAGATGTTCGGACAGCCTCTTATTGGGACAGGAAATACAGTATTCTCCGCAAGATGTCTCGTGGCAAATCGGATATTCTGTCCATGGAGTTTGGCTGAATATTCAAGATTTTTCACCCACTCTAATCAAACCCTAAACGTATTTTTCAGCTTAATAAACTCATAGTTAGAGGGTGTTTGGCTAAGCTTATAAGATGTTAAAAGGAGCTTATAAGATGTTTTAGAGCTTATAAGCTCTTCCAAAGTGTTTGGTAAATTTTTAAAAAAAGATCTTAATTTTTTTTAAATAAGCTGTTGGAGACCAAATAAGATCTTTTTCAATAAGTACATCTACCCCACCTTTTAATTTAAGATCTTATAATGAGTAAAAATAGGAAATAAACTCATTATCCAAACACTCTAAAAATTAATCCTAAAAATAATATGTAACAACTTATCAGCTCTAAAAACATCTTATCATACGTAAGAGCTTATCAGCTGTTTAAAATACCAAACACCCTCTTAGTATTCCTTTTTTTTTTCTTTTTTCTTTTTTCTTCTTTCTCGTTTTTTTTTTCTTTTTTCTTTTTTCTCGTTTTTTTTCTTTTTTATTTTTTTTCTTTTTTTTTCTTCTTCTTGAGAGGAAAGTTAGTATTCGTTTTTTTTTTCTTTTTTCTTTTTTCTTTTTTTTTTTCGTCTTCTTGAGAGGAAAGTTAGTATTCGTATGGCAATTGATTTTCTTTATCCGCAGACCTATTTAGGTTAGTATTAGTATTTTCCTTCTAATAAGTTATGAATACTAGGGTTAACACTAAAAAAAATTCCCTAAACTTTAGACATTTTGCACTTTACCATTTAAATAGAAAAAAGTTATACGAGCACACATGAACTTGTTCAATTGTTACACCAACGACTAAAAGTTTCCAGTTATAACAAAAATTATGCTTGAATTGCACACGTGCAACTCACGTGTGAAAATAGAGGGGTGATTTCGTCCAAAGTTTAGGGGATTTTTTGCTGTTAACTCTAAATACTATTTTTATCTTATTTCAATTTTATTTTTTTGCCGTGTGTCTATAGAGTTACTTGAAACTCTTCACAGAAAATAGAACCCGAAACCCGAAAATAAAAAACCGAATCCCGAAATCCGAAAACCTAAAATCTGGAAACCCAAAAATCAAAAACCGAATCCCGAAATCCGAAAACCCGAAAACCCGAAATCCAAAATTTGAAAACCCGAAATACGAAAACCCGAAACCGAAACCCGAAAACCCAAAACACAAAAATTTGAATCCAAAACGAAAACTCGAAAAATGGTTTTTTACTACGATTATTAACTGTAGCAATATACGGGCGTGACAAAAGTTCTGCTACGGTAAATGGCCGTACCAAATATTTTTTTGCTAAGGTAAAATTGTTCCGTAGTAAAAAATACATTTTATTACGGTATTTTACCGTAGCAAAAATTTTCGTAGTAATAAGCAAATTTTCTACTAGTGATATTAGAGAAAGCGGATGAAGTGTTGATTGATTTGGGATTCGTTAAGTAAATGCTAATAGTGATAGTAAGAGTAAATCTTCTTTCTGCACTTCCCCAACTTTCTTTCAGTTTTCCTATTTCCATTTTTTTTTACCGGAGACTACAACAACTCTCAGTATCTCCAGCAACATTATAACGCTAAAACCCAAAAAATTGCTTCATGTTCAAAGCTCGCATAATAGTTTTTTGCTTGAATGAAAAAAAATGAAGAATAGAGAGACGAGGCGAAAAAGTGTTTCTCATGTTTCAACCGATAGTTATATGATGATTGATGACTAGCGATCAACTGCAAGATTTAAAGCCGAAAAATTGCTTCATGTGTTTCAGCTCCATCTTCAGGATTAACTGCATTCAAATATAAAACACGAATTTCCATTAGCCGCATGCATGTACATATTAACAACCTAAATGCCACAGATCCATCAAACGAACGAGAGAAATATGAAGAACAACTTGCCAAACCGTAAAACAGAGGAGAAAACTAACACAAAAAACAATTACAAAAAGCCAATTATATATGATAAGCACCTAAATGCAGTGTGTAATGCCAGTAAGGACAAACATATCAAGCTATACTCGTTTAACTGAACTAAATCATACTAAGGGCCCGTTTGGCTAAGCTTATTTTAAACAGCTGATAAGCTCTTACGCCTGAGAAGATATTTTAACAGCTGATAAGCTCTTAAACATCTTATAAGCTATTTTTAACATCTTATAAGATTAGCCAAACACCCTTCTTAAGACATGAAGTGACAAGAAACATCTTATTATACAAAATACAGAAACCATGGAAGGCCAAGTAAGTGAAGATAGACAGAAGAAACGTCTTGAAATAATAAAATCCGAACACATATATGCAACAACTAGTAAGTGACACGTGCGTTTGCACGATTCATGTGGTTTCAGTAAATTATTTTTTTAATAATTTATTTGATTAAGACTAGAATTAAAAGTTGTAATATGACAAGTATTTAATGCAAAATAATAGACAAGATTGAAACACATTTAAAGATATGCAGTTAAATCTCTATAAATTAATACAGTCGGGACTAGAGAAATTCTATTAATTTAGCAAATTATTAAATTATCGAGTTAATAATTTAATACGTTTTCACCGAGTCGGGACCGAGAGAAACTATTATTTAATCGAGGTTATTAATTTATCGAGGTTCTACAGTATGCATGATAATTTTACGAGATTTAGAGGACTCACATAGTTTCTCTCCATTTCAGTACGAAGCGACAGTTATTTTTTTCAATGTTTAGAAGATATTCGGACAAAGGTGCTCGATGCCATTCGTCTTCGTCTGGGTAGTTCCCTCTCTTTCTCTTAATCTCCAAGCTTGCTTCTTCCAAATCTCGTAAGAACAACCGTGAGGGCTCATCATCTTCGTTTCCACTCTCTCTCTCCATAAGAATCTTCCACATATACCCGACAAATTTTACCTCGCGTCCCCTCCAAATATACGCATCGTAGTCTACCTCCCATCCCTTGAGGCGGTTACCGATGTTTCCCGGACGACAAATACTAAATACACCATTTACAAGAGTCGGGAAATGAGATAAAGGACAAACCAAGTTGAACGTCTCCACCAAAACAGGTTTGTCGTGTACCGGTGGCCGATTAACGTTTTCTTGAATTACGTCATCTTTGCAATAGGGATGTTTATATATGCTCAGAGAAATTTTTGATTGGCTTAACGACTTGAGCAGTTCACTTAGCTTGAGGAACCACAAAGAAGAACCGTCGTTTTTATGTTGTAAGTGTATCTCCGACTTCCACTCCCTCGAATTTGTTACAATAGAGACTGATGGGACAAAGTCCCCTTCGTATTCAAAATAGAGTACGTTCGGGGCATCGATAAATATCCGGGATTCTTTCAGTCCATCACAATTCGAAAGAGTCAACCTTTTGAGACTCGGTAATTTACTAAACGACAAGTTGTCCAATGACGATTTCACACCACACATATATAAATCTTTGAGATTACGAAAATCCGCTCCTCTGCGGAACGTAATATTAGCGGCACTAATCTTGATGGTTTCGAGAGATAAGGGATCGATTTCGATGCTACAAAGTTGATCTCCACCACCAAATACAACTTCGATAAACGTGAAATCCTTGAGATTGCGAAGATCACTCATCTTAATTGTTCTTAGCCCTATATTTGTTCCGTCGATACACAGGGTTTCAATCAAAGGGCAGCCCGAGATTATCGTTTGAAAAATACGGTCGTCAACGGACACATTTACGAGATGAAGTGATCTTAGATGCTTGCAGAGTGCTATCTTTTCAGCCTTTTCGTCGAATACAAATCTTTCCACGCGCAAATGTTTGAGTGATTCGGCGGCTTCAAAAACTACGGATGGCAAATCAAGACACCCCGGATCGTACGGCACGGAACGAATAGAGAGAAAAAACTCCTTTACACCCATAGATGTGAGCAATGGGATCCATTTTACGAGAAGCGAAACAGATTTACAATGGGCCCCACAGTGCAGCGGTATAGAGAGGCGAAACTCCTCTAACCGCAGCGTCTGATCGCGGTACAGCTGTAAAGTCTTGTCGACAACGGATATAAATTCTCGTGTCGTGTCTATTAATGTGGGGTCTGAAAAATCAAGATCAAGATTGGGGCGCGTGCGCCAAATAGTACGCCATGATTTCGACAAGACAGATGTTCGGATAGATTCCTTTTGGGAGAGGAAATAAAGTATTCTCTGCAAGATGTCTTTCGGCAATTCGGATATCCTGTCCATGGAGTTTGGCTGAATATTCAATAGACCTAAAACAATTTTGCAGCAGTGAAATCTTTCAACCTAATGAATTTGTCGGCGCAAGTAAAAACAAGAAGAAAAAAAAAACCCTATCGTAGTCATAATGAATTAACAAATTACACGTGAAAAAAAGGTGTAAATGTACTTTACCCCCTAGAAATTTTAAATGTTTGCACTTTAGTACCTATAAATTCAAAAAAGAGATTTTTTTCCCTTCAAAATTTTGTTCCACTTGAACTTTGCCCAAATTACTATTTCCTGCTTGTCTTTTTGTCGGAATTGCCATGAATCCGTCCAATTGAAAGGTAACAGCGTTAATTGATGGATGGATCACCGTAATAGTTTCTAGGTGAAGAATTTTTTTTTTTCTTCTGAAGATTTGCACAATTTGGGACTATAATACGCACCAACTAGTTTTTGGAAAAAAATGTCTATTTTTGTTTTTTTTATGAAATTAGCGAAATGGGTTGTGTTTTCGTATATTAGAAAATATAAGGATATTAGGATTTGGATGGGAATAATGAAGCACTATCAGGCCTG